ACATGAGAGAGGGGACAGCTGAGGTCCATCATCCTGCACAGGGCTCCTGATGGCAGCAGCAATAGATGGCATGAGGAAGCCTCTGCTGGCTGCCAGGCATGACATTCCACCCCTGGAAGTTCCGTCACAGCAACCCTTGGAGAACAGACTTGTCACTTCACTTTTCTAGGATAGAAGTTGCAGCTCACAGTTAAAGAACTTGTCTGAGATCACTTGGAGAGGGACGCAGGGAGCCAAATGCAAAGCTGGACATTGGCCTTTAAATCCCAGCACTGGCCCAGGGCTTGCCCATCAGCTGCAAGGGACAGAGGGCAGCCACAGGTCATACCAGTGGGAACAAATCCATCCCCATCAGTGGCAGGTTCCTGGGCTTTCCCTGTCTCTACTTCCCACCAGGCCCTTAGCCACAGCCCACTCTATGCAGGGTCCATCAGAAGGCTTCAGTGAGACAAGCAACTCCATCATAAAGCCAGCGGGGCCACGAGCCTGCAGCCAATCTGGCCTTTCAGTCAAAAATAAGTACAGAATCTATTAACGACTCCCTGAGGCTTCCCTGGGAAGTTTGCTCTTACTGGTTGATTTATGCCCCCCACCCACCCACCCAAAAGATATGTTGAAGTCCTAACCACCAGATCCTCAGAATGGGACCTTCTGGAAACAAGGTCATCGCAGATGCAATTAGTTAAGATGAGGTCAGACAGGAGGAGAGTGAACCCCTAATCCAGTATGACCGGTGTCCTTATAAGGAGAGCAGAGGTCGACACGGGGAAAAGGCCATGTGAAGACAGAGGCAGGGAGGGGAGTGATGCATCTACAAGCCAAGGAACGCCGGGGACGGCTGGCAGCCACCAGAGCTGGAAGAGGCCAGGAAGGATGCTGATCTGCGAGTTTCAGGGAGAGCGTGGCCTGACCATGACACTTGACTTCGGACTTCTGGCCTGCAGAACTGTGAGACAGTGCATGTCTGCTGTCTGAACCTAACAGTTTCCTGGTCCCCGGAAAGTGTTAAGCCGAGCTGGGAAGGACAATGTGCACAACCCGCACATAAGCATGTTGTGCTTCCTTCTAGGATGGCGAACAATGACCCCCTTGGTGCACAAGGACAGCTTCTCTTTTTAACTGACTTTGTGTCACTTTTAACTTACAGGACAGATTTCAACAAGGGCTGTACTGGGTATTTGTTTTGGCCTCCAGTATTCATCCTCTCTCAAGACAATACAGCTTGGTTCTTCTCTGGGAATTCATCCTCCTCTGCTCAGCCACGCAGTCCCAGTGGCATGGGCCATCCCGGTCCCCGGGCTCTGAGCCAATCACCTCTCCCGTCCTCTGAGAGCAGCGATTGGTCCAGGGAGAGGCGTGTGACCTAGCTGGGCCAATGAGAGACAAGGGAGCTTGCACAGGCCCTGCAGGAAGAGCCGCCTTTGCTCTGGAAGGTGGGATGGGAAGAAGCCCTCTGCTCTTAGGAGGGACAGGGCTGTTGCTGCCCCGGAGCTGACCTGAAGCCTGAGGACAGAGCTCCCACTGAGGCAGGCAGAGTGGAAACACAGAGAAACCAGTCCTGGGGGCCCTGCATGAGCAGCTGGTCACGCCTCACCTGTCATGATGTTTCTGGACTTTGCAGTTGTGTGAGCCAATAACCCCTCCCCACCCCACTTATTTTGTTCTTGTTTGGGGATTTCGGTTTGTCTTTGTTTTTGTTTTTGAATAAGGAGGTAGCCCAAGCTAATTTAAATTGGGTTTTGTGCTGGTTTAATATGGCTAATGAGACTCCTACCTCGTTCATTAGCCATATTAACTGAACGTTATTAAAAACGCTTTTGGATGTTAGATTCACACTTAGGTCAGGGCTGGGCATTAGCAGGTTTTTCCACCTGTGAATCCAAAGGTAAGGACTGTGTCCCTCTGGAACACTGCAACACTCCCCCAGGGGTCTGAAATACTGCTGGGTCTGAGGAATAACAGAACCGTGGCTTACTTTTACCAGTTCAGTCAGTCAGTGGTAGCAGGGACCCCACACCGTCCTTTGACATTGCACAGGCCAAACACCCAGGTGTGGCATCCCAACATGCACACACACGCTTGGAGAAAATTGTATCAGGCAGATGCCAAAGGAGAAGAAAGCACAAATACAAGGTCGGAGGTGGCACTCCTTTGTCCCCAGAAGGCTTTGCCTGAAGGGCCAATGGCACCTCCTTGGGTTATGAACTGAATGTTTGTGTCCCCCAGCATTCATACGTTGAACTCCTAACCCCCTATGTGATGGTCTGAGGAGGTGGGGCCTTTGGGAAGTGATTAGGCCAAGGGGGTGGAGCCTCATGAATGGGATTAGTCTTCCTCCTCTTCCCACCACGTGAGGACACAACCAGAAGTTGGCGCTCTGCCACCAGGAAGGGGGCCTTCACCAAAACCCAACCTCGCCAGCACCTTGATCTCAGACTTCCAGCTCCAGAACCAGGAGAAATAAATNCAAGCCACACCCACCACTGCATGGGGGGTGCAAATTTTGATTTCAGAGCAGCCCCATGGTGGTCCAAACCCATCCTTAACAATTTTTCATGGAACAAAGAGAAGCCATGAGCAACTGTGCCTGCTTATCTCAATCAGGCCCTCAGTGGTCCTCCCAAGGGAATATTACATCACAAATATTAACATTTTAATCTTTTTGTGCTTAGGATGGCTGCCTGGTACAGAGATCTGAGCCCCTGACCTCGGTGTTATCTGCACCATGCTCTAACCAAGTGAGCTAACCAGACAGTTCACATTTTTTAAGTGCTAGAGAATACCATTGGTTAACACTGACATCCATACCACAGCATAATCAAC